GATAAAAGAAGAAAGTTTATACACTGACTACCAATAACACAGTTGCAAAATTCTACTGTCAGAAATTCATTTTTGTGAGGTACACTCCCAGGTCCTCAGTTTCACCGTTCCTTGTGCTGTGCTGTAATGGGCTCCCAAGGCATGATGAGTACCGAATAACGATGTTTTCCTTACCCCCCTTATTCTGAGTTGTAAAAGTGAAACATGGGACATAGTATAGTCTAGTTTGTGATGTCAGTTGTTTTTGCTGGATATCCATACAGTGACTTTTGGGCTATTTTCCACGTTGTGTGGCACTGAGAGCATTTATGTCACAAAGGGCACATTGTAGCGGAGCGGCTGTGCGTCTGTTGTCTTTGCTCTGCTCACTCACCTTCTACAGTCCAAACCCAGACCCATTTCCTCTTCTTGTGCTGCTCTCAATACACAATGGCTCCATGGACACACTACATAATGGAAAAACACATACATTCAAAACACTTTTATCCAGACTAATTGCCTGTGGACACTTGGTCAGAAACGTGCATGTTTTATATCCACTTATTTGCTGAAGTCATTAAATGTGTGTATTAAACATATAAATGCGTAAAAGAAGTAAATGTTTATATACACTGCATTGCTTGTATAGATATTTGTCTTTGAGGATCCCACAGTGCGTTATGAGGATCAGGAGTGTCTTATAAAGAGCCTTCTGTTTTCCTTCTAATTGAATTTGCCACTAACATATGCTGGCAGGAACCTCTTACCTTGTTTGACTTACTGTATTTATTGCCTGACGGTAGAGGTAATTTGACCTTTCATTTCAAAGGCTCTTTTTTAATCCAGATAAGGAGTGTTAAACTCAATTAGAGCAGTGATCAGTGGTTCAAACACTACATTTGTTTCCTGTGAGGGTCCAGGCGGATGGAGGCCCTGCTCTCAGCTCTGAGCTCGGCCAGGGCAAAGCCAGGAGCTCTGCTGGAGGAGGGGCTAGAGAGTTCCTGCCATGTCACTGGAGATTTGTGTGCTCCGTTTAAATCATTTCCCTCTTTAGAAAATTAAGAAGGCAGAAATATTCTCAAACTGGTCATTTTCCCTCCCCCTAAATGGACTCATTTGCATTGGCAAAAGCTACTGTTAATTGTAAGTTTCAAAAAAGACAAATGACCCTCACAACTGTAAATAAAAACTAAAGAAGAGATCATATTGTTAACTGTCACAATGGTTCAGAGGGGCCACGGTGTGTTTCCTTGTGCTTATACCTGAGACTGTACAACCCATTAAACACATATGTCTTAGTTTAAGTTTCAATATTTTCTCCTATATTATTAAGCCCACCAAATGAGAGAAAGAATGAGGTCTTTACCTGAATTTAATTATATTGCTCACAATAAAATACAGTAACACTGAATACCCAGAGGAAAGTGGCCATGTTTCTGCTCCCTCTTTCACAGGAAAAACACCAGTGCCTTGTTGTAACCTGATCATTTATGGATCAGTTGTTTTCATTCTAGTTTAATTCACCATGTGATTGATTTGCAGAGCGGTGCTGTTGGAATATATCCTCTGTAAACTGGTCTGAAACGGGGGTGATTTGAATACAGATGCTCACAGCTTTGGCCTTGTCACTGGAAGCACTTGGAGCTAGGAGACAATTGCAGGTTGATTATGTTGCTTCTGTCAGAAGTTGCACGTTCTTTGTACAAGGCTGTATTTGCATCTAAATGCTTATTGTAGACATCTAAACAGCATAAAGGCTGATTGTAAATGCCAGCTGTTAGGCCGTACTCAGAAATAAAACAAGAATTTCTATGAGGAAAATTGGGATGGAAATGAGGAAATTATTTTCAAACAGTGAAAGTGAAATCAATAATGAGGAAATGGTTGTATTTGTCTTGTGTATCCAGGCTGTGTTACCCTCACATATGAATCTATTTACAGTGGGCTACTGCATGTGTATTTAACTGGGGGAAATTCACACTTTATATTCAAATGGATTTCTCTTTTGTTGTTATTATGGTTTGTATTAGTATTGGCTGTTGTTGCAGATAACTTTAACTATGTTGTGTTGTATTAGCTGAAAATGGAAACATATCATGTTGTTTACTCTGTGCTTAAAGGCCCACAGTAGCTCTGTGATGCTCTGGCAGACATATGTTTGTTTGTGAGCTGTGCATGTGCTGCTATAGGTGTCTTAGACTGTGCCCGCTGCAGAGTGATGCCCCTGCTGACTGGCTCCTCCAGCTCTTTGTCCGGCTGCACTCAGTGTGGCGGGATCCTTGGGAGACTGGCAGCCTTCTCCAGTGTGCCTCTACAATGGCCCAGCCTCCTTTGAGGTGTTAAAAACTTCCATTTATGCATCTCCCTGGACAAAAACGCACCAAGCCCATTTGAGTCCAGTGGCAACACAGCACACATTGTGGACATGCTTCTTGAGCACTCATTTCACAGATTCTAAAACCAGTATGTGGTGAACAGGATTTGAGGGGCTAAAGTGCCCCACGAGGACCAGGCGATAAGAGGCAGAATCGCCACCGCACAGTAAACTAGAAGATGGGCCGCGCAATATAAACACATTACCTGTGAGAGGGGCTTGTTTTCAGACTCTGCTCTCAATGCACACACAAAAGAAACAGGGAAATAAAGCAACTAAAACACAAATGATAGATACAAAGTGGTTCTGACATGGTCATCTTTTTGTGTGTTTAGTTTGTATACAAAAGAAGTTTTCAGAGACACAAGGTTATTTGGACCACAGAAATACTAAACACTTATTGTAAGAAGTAGAAATGTGTGGATCTTTCTTTGCAGTAAGAGCAGCTTTTTAAATATGACATTATTTTATGTCAGTGACCAGAGATTGAAATAGTACGCTTTCGCGGTGGCTTGCCACATTCTGGATTATAGTGACAATATTAAATAGTACTTTCATATTTAGACGACGCAGCTGCCTACAGCATTGCCTTCATATAGTGCGTCATTTAACATACAATCACATGTCGAGAGATTTCTCGGAGTTTTTCTGTGGTTCACACGTCAAACCAAATCAGCCCTCAGCTCATTTCCTCTTTTCCTCTGGGACTACAGTGACAGCCTGGGTCCCGGACAGCTCCAGACCAGGCCTGTGCTGCTCCTGCTGCTGCAAAGATAACCACTCAGCACCAGCTACAAGCAGCGGCCTGATGCCACAGATTACCTCCATTGTACAAATAACTCACTCTGCAGAATTCCTACTTTAGCATGTTTGATCGCAAAGGAGTGAGGATTTGGAATAGAGGAACAGAATAGAGAAATGGAAGGAGATTTTTTTTTACATGTTGCAGATCTGGACAAATTCCAAACCGGAGAGCAGGTTTGGACTTGCCTCTAGTCAGTCGGACTGCTGCTCATATACACAGTGTATTATGGCCATGATTCACCTTCACTCTCAGAATAAATGTTGTATTGAAATAATAGAGTGAAGTGTCTCTGTGACTGACCCTGCTCCATGACACTGAACCACTCAGCTCTGTCTGTGAAACAAAGTGAAAGAAACTGGAAATAAAATCAGGCTCACGCCACACTGTCAATTATATTTGAACATGAAGGTGATTTTTCAGCCTTCATTTGGTGCATGAGGGGTGAACTCAGAGATGATATATTTCTTTTTATTTAAAGAAAGGGCTGCTGTTATTTTAGGTTAGTATTTCATGAGCATGCCTTTCCTCGATTATTTAGATCTTTTTCCTTAACAGCATTTTAATCTTTAATCTTCCTTGTATTTGCATATTTAGTGCACATGGTGCATCTTGTGAGTTTGCCTGTATTTGTGTGTGATCTGGCTGTCATGTGAGCTACAGAAAAGGGTTCTCTTTGACAGAAATGCCACAGGTGGTTGTGAGCTCCTTTGATGCCAGTCTCTGAATTCTTGTGTCAAAGAACTACACCCCCACTTATTTTCTATGACACGGACAAAGAAATATGTCATTATATTTATGGGATAAAGTTGGACAGCTTAGGCTACCATTGTTGAGCCAAAATCTCAGTTACTCCTCACTGTACTGTTTATAGATATTTGTGATTTTAATACTTCTTGTTCTCTAAAAATTATCTACTTGCCACAGTTTGTAATATTCATTGTCAGACTTGCACAAATTAGCTCAGTGTTTATAAACTCTAAAATCGCTTTACGATAAAGAGTTGCAAATAGTTGTGCAAATCTAAATCTATAAAGTAATGCCGCATCTATACTGCTAATCCAACACAGTATCTATGTGTTATTTTGGATCTTAAATTGTGCATTCAGTCTGAGAGCCTTTCTTTCAGTTTGCGTCTCTGGAGTCCTCTTTGCCCATTGTCACCCTGCTGGCCTTTACATGACTTTCTCCCTCAGCCCTCCCCTCCCTCCTCTCTCTCCTCTACCTCCGTCCCTCCCTCCCTTTCTCCCTCTCTCCTGACAACAATACTGTAGTACAGTTATCCAACACTCTTTGTTGTTTGGGAGCATGTTGGCTCCTGCAGTATCAGACTGAGGTGCTGTACTCCAAATTAGTTTCAGATCAGTTAAGCATGACCTTAAAAACCCTTGGCCTTGTTTAATTGGCAGTGCTGCGGTGGACTAATTGCATAAATCAGCTTGTAATGAGATCCAAGCTTATTGTGGAAAACAAGATAATGTGAGAAAATGAGCATGGATGAAGCCACTGTGCTGGAGATGTCTCTAACTGTGTGTAGTTTTATTATCCTGAATTGTCATTTTCCACATCACTAGCGCTAAGTCCCCACTGTGTATGTCACAAGTAACAAGCCAAAGCCATAGAAACCCTGTAATGCTTTCAGTGGTGCTTGAAAAAAGTGTAATATGGTTTGAAACATTTCTGTTGGTGACAGCTGTCTGAACTTAGGGTCAGCTTCTAACCCCTAGTCATCAGTCAGTGTCACCCACTTTGCATTATATTCTGATTTCCTTTTAACAAAAAATATTTTAGCATCAATAAAATGTTTCTTATTCTCTTTTTGTATGTTTTTGTGTCTGTCCTCAGGTCACTTACATGAATTCACAATCAACCGACCAGTGATCGCTGGAAGCCGGGGATTGAGTCTTTCAGTTTTTGTAAGTATCAATTTGCCCCTTCAGCTGTTTCTGTCTTGCCACATGTGTCGTGCCCCCCCGCTGTCCTCTCCCACTCTGAACACCTGCATCAAATGAAGTGGACAAATGCTTAGGCTCACATTGTATGCACAATTAGAGCAGTTACATGCACTCTAAGTTAGACAGACCATTTCGGCATCACCATTTGAAATGGCATTTTTTACTGGGGTTTGCAATACATGATTCTCCCCATACTATATATACGTAAATGTAAAGTATTTGAGATGATATTACTACATTTGTGAAACCTGTACCTGGTACATCTTGAACAGTCATTGCTGAGCAGATTAAAATACAGACCTTTAAAATTGTATCTGAGATATTAGGCAAATAAAAAAAGAAATATCTTAGTTGATTTTATTATTTTTTCTCAAATGTCAGTGAAAATATCTTCTCAGATATATTAGCGTGGTTAAAAACAGATGAGATTTTTGGGGGAATCCAAAGTTCATGGCCATTTACCATTGTGTAATTGTGACATTTCACATCAAACACTCTTCTGCTCTCATGAACACGCACCTGCCAACAGCACGCAGCCTCGCGGGGCAGAGAAACAGGCTCCTCTTGCACTAGATCAAATACAAAATAACCAGGAATAAATGTGCACAAAAAGCATATCATATATTCATCATGATTATTATAACCATTATGAATTATTATAATAACTATAGTATTATAATAAAAATAGGACAAAATGCACTGTAATGTTCCACCGCTTTGTTGTTATAGTGTAATAACTAATGCAGATATGGCTGGTGTCCTCACACTGCGGCACAGGATGGAGTTTCACCTAATGGCTTTATAAGACTGAAAACAGGACTAAAGAACATGTCATTAATTTCCCTGCTACCCCAGCTGTAGAAAGTAATGCATATCTAAAGTCCAGCAAAAATGAATTAATGATTTCAACCATGAACTTTTCTCCCAAAACGCCATGAATCGTCTCACACTGATAATGCACACGACCCTGGAGTGTGAAATCCCTGTTGCGCTGAGAGTAGCCAGTTAATTGATTCGCAAATTATTTAAAGTTTGTAGTGCCCAGGGGAGTGCTAGCTCTAATGACAGCCCTTTTTTGAAAGGGTTTAAAAACTCTTAGCAGCAAGCCCTTATTAAACTGTTACAGGAAGGTAACACGTCTAAATTGGGGACCAAAGCAAGATAAAGTGTGATTATTTTGTACTTCATGATGAGGTTGTTTTCAAAAAAACTGTGTTTAATACAGCCCAGTCATAACATAAAATAGATACACTGTCTCTGAACCTCAGTGGCAGTAGTAAAAGTCATATGCGTACTAACCAGTGACTACAAGTTGGTGGGTCTCTGTGTTAATCTTGACCCATTAGCAACTGCTGTCATTCAGACACATGGCGTCGGCCCGATTTAAATAAAATGAAATGAAGATAGTTGTTTCTGGTCCCTTGGCTTCACTCATTGCCATAAACATATGCTCTGTGCCTCGCTTCCTTCCATCTTATTTATGACTTTAATTTGTTGTGTGGGCTGCGCAAGAAATCAAATTTAATCCAATCCTCCCAGGGACCCTGTCATATAATAACATGGTAATTTCTGTGTATCCTTTTGAAAAATGAGGAAATTAATTCTTCCTGACATGTTCTAATTATTCCAGTGTGAACGGCGGATGGTCTCCCCTCCCCCAGCCCCCTAAGTGTCAGTTGCTGACGGGTGGCGAGGTGCTAATGCTGACCAGCAGCGCGTTTAATTTGAAACATGAGCAGACACCTTTCAACACACCTTCCTAATGTTGGAGTGGCTCACACAAATTAATTCACTTCTCTGGCGGCAGCTTTGACGTGTGTGCATCCACTGTGTGTGTTTTGTGCTTTCCACATAGGAGGCGGGGTCAGGGCACTATGGTAGGGCACTAGTAACATAGAGGGTACTGGGGGTAAACACAGGAGCCTATAGGGTAGGACATTGGGGTAACACAGGAAGGCACTGGAATAGGGAACTGGGGTAACACAGGAGGGCACTGGGGTAGGGCACTAGTAACACAGGAGGGCACTGGGGTAGGGCAGTGGGGTAACACAGGAGGAAGCATCAGCCACACACTCTTTTGCCCCAGATCAGGATACTGTTGTTTCAGAGCACATTACTTAAACCAACCAGACACTTTTACATAGTGTAAACTTGTACCTTTACTAGTCACTCTCCATGTCTTAGTTGCAATGGAATAATACTTTTCTAAACGTGTGAACTACACTGGAGATCAAAACAAAAGGAAAATATGAAAAATAAACTATAATAAATGATGAACAAAGTACTTATAATTATGAACATAAATGTATTTTTAAGTGCCCAAACAGGACAGATGGCTCTTAGTTTAAAACACTGGAAATGCTTGTGAGGAAGAAATTAAAAAGAAGGAAATGGATTTTGTTGATTTCTTTGTGTGTTTGTTGTCTGTGACTTTTACTACAGAAAGCACATAGTTGTGGTGTCATGGCTGAGGGGAGGAGAGCACAGCTCTGTGAGCGGAGGGTGGGTCCCCCATGACTCAGAGAAGGCAGAGGCGTCAACATGGCCGCTGGGCCCACAGGGATTAAAGTGTCCCCCATCACACCCTGCAGGGTTAATCACTGCCATTTTGGATCCACACAGAGGAGAAAACCAACTCTCCATCACCGTGGAAGAACTGAGGCTGACTCTGGCAGTGCAGCTTTACAAACATGTTTCCACTCTGGCTAAAGAAGTATTTGGCATCTTGATTTACTTTTGGATAGTTATGGATAGTTTTTCATGGGCTCCTTATGAACCAACTCCCTCTGTCTTATCTTGTATATGATTAATATATTAGTTGAAGCGTGTGTCTCTGTGCATTGTGTTCTCCGGGAGCATGTAAATGAGTGAAGGCCGAGAGTGCTGTCCTGTGCCAAGACCCACATGGCTGCTGGCGGTGCATTAAATCAGCAGTCAATTTGACTGTAAGTTAGAAATCTGGGCTAGGTTAAGGGGATGTGCTGAAGCCGTGTTAATAGCGAGCTTGTTGTCCATATGGTACTGCTTTAATAGAGCACATTTGTTGCAGATGGTGGGAGACTTGGTTAGGCAGAGGCACATTTTGGCAGGGACTCATTCTTCGAAAGGGCTGCTGTGCTGCTCACCCTGGATCGGGCCAAACTGATGTCTATCCTCTGCCTCTCCTTCATCAAACCACTGCCCTTGAATATAATTTAAACCTGATCAGGCTTTTTGTCTCTGCGCACAAAGGATAGAGCTTAGTCACTTTTTCCAAAATGTTGCTACCAGCTTTCCAAACCGCACCTTTGCTTCGATGGACTAAGTTGAGTTTTTCTGACCACAATGGGATTGTAGACAGCAGGCACAGCTGAGGAAACACAAGCAGAGCGAAGGAGAGGAACAAGGGTTTGGAGTCCAACCAAAGATAAAGATAGAGCTGAGTGCTGCCGTATCCCATAAACAATTGGCTTTGAAAGCCCCATGAGGTCATATGCATGCTTTTTAACAAAGTTATTACTTAGTGTTAGTTTTCATCTCTAGACTGTTGTATTCCTTTATGCTATTTTTCCTACACATTATATTTGTGCATTCACACCTGTTTTTTGTAGTTTGAACTTCAGAGCGCTCACTGGAGGGATGTGTGCTTTTTGCACTGGCAGAAGTGAAGAGACACGCTTGATGTGCTGTGCTCTGTTTGACGGTTGTTTTCTCACGTTGTCACTGGCCTAGTGTGTCCTGGTTGTGATGGTATTATGTGCACAGGCCCAGCTGAGTGGAGAAAAGAGCAGAGCAGTGCCCCTGGCTATGCCACTCCTGCCTCCCCAGACACCTTATTGTGAGAAAAGTCTGGCTGAGCCCTCTGGGCCTGTGGATCCACTGCAGCGCTAAGTGCACCACCAACTCAAAGGCACAGTGTCCTTGGCTCCACTCATTCTTTCCATTCTCTCAGAGGCTTTGTCTTAAGAGCCAAGAGAGCAAGACGAGAAATGCCAAATTACGCTCACACTCCTCAAACTTTAGGTGTTCTGCGTGTTATTTAAAATATACAATTTTTAAAAAGATTTCAGTAATTGTAATATTTGTTTTCTATTAAAAGGCAAACTAGAGTAATACCAGAGGGACCTAAAAGTCAGTTTAGAGATGAAAAATAATTTATCATTAATCAAATGATCAAATTTAATAGAATAATCACAACCCAAAAGTGAGTTTTCCTTTTACTACCAGGGCAGAACATGTGCAAGGTTTCATCAATATCAATAACTCAACCAACACCAGAACAGTATCGGGCTCAATATAAAACTGAAAAGTGTTGTACAGTAAGTAATGATTATCCCCGTGTGTCCATGACTTTGTGGGTTCGGCTTCTGAGCGACCCCTGCGAGTGCTGACATCATGACCACATCCTCCTGCTTCACTCGAGCTGTGCGCCGCGCTCCGCAACCACACATGTGCTGCAGCTGGACCACCGCTGGCTACTCTGAAGTGAATACATGTATACATCTGCACACAGCCGTGGAACAGGCCTGTGTAGACATCAGTAGGCAAGGTTTATTTGATGCAAACATATCATCAGGCTCTCTGTGCAAAACCAATGTTGTATGCAAATCCACTCCCTCCATGGAAAGAGGTATAATTAATGATGTCAGTTCATAAAAGAGAGGATGGGTTTGCAGCCATACTCTTGCCTTAATTAAAGACATGCCTTATTATAGGAGTAAGATATATGTACTGTGTGTTTTCCCTCTTCTTTTTTCTTTCCCTTTTCTCTTTCTTGATTATTGCTCATTTCATAGTGAAAATGGTTCTCTGTGATTTTTCCCTGCCAGAACCCCACACGCTGACATGGAGGGCTATCTACGTAGCAGCTTTTTACTGAGGTTAGTTTCCTTTACCTTGTTGCCATTCAGGAGGTGGAGCATGGGCGGTCCTGGGTCACTCGGGCTAAAACGTCGGACACTTTTCTTCTTTTGTATTTAGACTTTGTCCTGTGTTGGCGTACACTTGTTTGTGTATGCACATGTGTCTTTATCTCTGAGCTTGGTCAACATGGATTAGAGCATATTTACTTAAACCATATGTAATGACCATGTAGTGTCTGACCAACTGGCATGTTCACATAAGCCAAACAAACAACACAAACTAGCAGGGCATAAATAGACAGTGCCACTATTAAAAGTGCAGGCATTGTGTCTAAGACGTTTTTGCATGCTTTTGTTTGGCCTGACTCCAGAACTGCCCTAATCAGGGGTACGGCTGGGACTGGCCTCTCATTTCCTGTGATGTTCTGTTGTTTTTCGTTGTGTTATGTGTTTGTATTCAACCTACCATAAAGATTTACATTTTTAGTCTTTACCCTTCGTGTGATTCTAATTAAAAATGGGTGCTGTCATTACACACAGTGGAAGTAAATAGGAGCAAGTGTATTTACCATTGGCTCCTTTCCTAGTCAACCACCTTCTCTAGGCTCTAGTGTTGCTCCCTAATTAGGGCTGGCTCATTAGAAGCCACAGCAGCAGCATCTGCCTTTCAAAGCTTCTGTCAGCCAAACTTTACTAAAGCTAATGAATCCGCTTTGATTTCAGTTTCAAAAGGTCACTTATTTGATTAAATTAACAGCATTTTTCCACATAACTGTTGGGCCGTTTTAAAAAGAAAGGACAATTTGATACGATTACACTCGCTTGTCAAACGTCCTTCAGGAATTCAACAGGAAATTCCCTTATGCGGCAAAATAGATTTCATTTTATCTTTGGAGTCCATTAAACGCAGCAAATGAGTGAAGTTCAATATTTACATATTTGGATGGATTTGAGTCTTATTTTTTTTATTTATTTTTTTATTGCTTTAAAAGAAATTAAAAAGTCATGGGCAACGCATACTGTATTTCCTTCAAATGTGCTATACATTTTCAACACACATGATGTAAACACGAATAATAGTAACATTGTGCTGTTTATTAGTTATAGACCAATGATATAGATGAGCAATGCTGAGGTAATCCCACATTCCTAAAGAAAGAAAAAAGAGAAAAATGACCTTTGCCCTTACCCTGCTTTGAACTCTTCTTTTTGTTCTGGGCACAGAGAGAAAACAGAGTGATTATTGTAAGTAAACACATTAGTTTGGCCCTAATCCACATCCTTCTGTCAGTGTGTGTTTTAATTAAAGAAGAAGCGACTGTAGAGACGTATCACGCACACTGGCTAAAGATTGGAGCCCACAACAATCAGGGTAAGATTAAAGGCAGCTTCGCTTTAAGGTTAGCCATTTTGCTTAGAAGAGCCTTGTGTCCCGTGGTGGGCTGTGTAGAGGGGGCAGGAGGAGAGATAGGACAGGAACAGGATGGATGTGACAGTCCGGCATTCCTGCTGCGAAGAATCCCAGTGTTTTTTCTCAAGTAAGTGATCCAGGCTAAGGGGATGAGATATGGTTCAGTACAGGCAACTTTTATGAGCTTTTAAACATATTATAAGGATTGATTTGTGTTTGTTTGAGTACATTGAGTAATACTGCATTGTCTGTTTTCACCTACCCCCTATCTCCGCCCACTATTCTGTACTCACTTGCAATTATTTAAGAATTTTGACTTTGGGTCAAACGTTGAGTTCAATATATAGTATTTGCATGAAAAGTATATATATAAAAAAAAGTATATGCATGAAATATAAATGTTTTGTTTTAGATTGACATTACTGTGCTTAAATTATAGTTTTGGTATGCTAAACCAATGGCCAGAAGCCGTCCTCTTACATATTGGGAGGGGGAGAAAGAGAGCGTGATAAACAGAAAGATGTCTTGAGTGTGCGTTAGCTCCCAGTGGACAGGACCTCCCCCTACATTTCTGCCATTATTTGATGTAATGAAAGGAGAAAGTGTGTAGCATTGAGATTGTTAATTAATTTAGTCTAACAAGATGAAGATAAATGAAACCCACTGAAGGTTGACTAGGCTAAGGGGCCCACTTAGCATTCCTCTTGCCCTCCAGCTCTGTCTCTCTCACTCCTCACAATGGAGCTCTGCTAATAGGTGCTGTACCGTGTTTGTACAACCCCACCAAGCTCCCGTCCTGCAACTTTTACATGCCGGACTTTTTAACACAATATATTATTTCTTTGCTTGATTCTGTATTTTAACACTGTAATCTTTTGTTGTGTGATTTAAATAATGCTAGTTATTATGAAATTAGCACTTGTGTAATTATGTTGTGACAGTGCAAGATGTTTTTTGTATCCACGTGTCTGTTATATCGCTTTGTCTCAGTAAAACCAACACAGATTTTATGATTGTGAGGCTGGTTATGTCTGAATTGCGGGGGGCTTGCATAAAAGGGTATTCTTTCTTCTGACGATGTGGCCCCCTCACATGAGCCTGTGTGACTCCCAGTCTTTCACCATATGAATGCTGCTGCTTTAATGCAGCCTGGGGGCTATTTGTGTGTCAAGACAGACAAAAAGCAAAGGGACAGTTTTCTTACAAAGGCTCACAGTTGTCTTCATGGCCAAGCAAATCAGTAGTCTATGAAGGTTCGTCCTCAGTGGACACTCTTTAGTAGATGTTACGACAGCACAAACTAATCATTATGGTGCCTATTCTTTGCTCTCTCAGTTCTCAAGTCATCAACAATGGGTAGTTGATTATATGGAAAACACCAGAACAATTATGTCCTGTGTTTTGGTGGCAGGGCAGCATTTTAAAGTGCAGTCCTCCATAATGGCCTCATTATTGTTATTCTTGGAGCAGCCCTGAGGAGAAGGAAGTGCTTGCTTCTAGTATTGCATTATTTCGTAATTTTCGATCAGCTCATCATGCTGTCTACTGGCAAACAGAAACATTGCTAATTAAAAGTGAGTGAGCGCTTTTTCTGTGATTTGAAAGGTATAGCACTCGATAGGCTGTTAATATAAAAAGTGGACAAAAAAGCAGGATTAGAGCTGTTACCCTGGTAACTCCAACTTCCATCTGCGAGGGAACAATGAACTTGTGTTTCTCCTCCACCTATGCTTGAAAAAACCCAAAGCAAGGAAGCGAGCGTTGTGAAAGGACAAGACCCTTTTTAACAACAAAGTGGGATCCAGGCCTAATAGGCTCTTTGGTGCGAGATGTTAGGCGAGATCACTGGGGGATAGAAAAGCTGAAAGGTCCTGTGTAATCCTAGGACAGTGAAGGTCGCCCCAGCTTTTTACAATAGCAGTTTGTCTGACAAGTTCTTAGTACAAAATGTATTGGCTACATTTACATTACATTTACAGTACATTTGGATTTTAGATTTTTAAGAAATATATGTTTTGTTATAAAAAATTAAACAAGCTGGACTGAGTGAACAACTGCTCTTGAATGGCTCCTTAAAGCGCTCCCGGTGTAAAACACTGTGCAGTTATAATGATCTGGGAGGAACAGTATGTGTTTCTCTTTGAGTTTTATGTCCCTTATTACAGCTGCGATACGTCGGCTCACATTAAGCTAATTTATGGTTGAGGCCAGCGTAACAGCAGTACAGGTTAATGAATTTGGCATTACTAATTAAATGTTATTGAGGGATGAATATGAATCCTGTAGTCAGAGGAGACAGCTGAGAAGAGAAGAGCGAAGGAGAATGGCACTGAAGACTTTTCAGGACCATCCCTCTTTCTTGAGCTTACATTTACAGATACTATAATATGAGTTTGAATGTGAGGTGAAATAGAGGACAGCTGTATTTAAGTGCATTGCCCTCACACAATACCTTTGATTACCGGCTATGAATTTTGATACGGTTATGGAGAATATGCCCACATAAACCAAATCTGAATGTGAGCTTGACACCTCCAACATGTCGCTTAAACACAATTTCTTTTCTCCCCGACCCTCTCCAGTGTCTGTACACTCCATGTCTGACATACTCCTCCTAAGAGCGAAGCCTTTCAATTTAGATTTCAATTATCATGTTAGTTTTGTGATTAGACTTTAGTCCTCCAGGAATCAGGCCTCTTTGCTCCTCTCTAACCCACTCTATTGCACTTCCCCTGCAATCACATCCCATCTGATGAATTGCGCATATAATTACGGAAGTTATTGAATATGCAGATCGCTGCTGACTCTTGGTGTGTGGTTCATAATGCTTCAACACTAACCGTATCAAATAAGGGTCTTCTATAAAGACCTGCTCTTCTCATAGAAGAGGGTCAATGCATACTATTAGTCCCAAATAGCAGACAGCATCATGTCTTCAAACAAGTTCACTCCATGAAGTACTTCGCTCTTACTGGGTACACAAGTACTTGTACACTTTATTAAGTTTATTGTAGGGACTTGAACAACTCCACCAATGAAGAGCATTTTAGCAGGCCGTCTGTCGGTGCTGAAGGTGCTAAAGAAGGAACCAAAAAGAGGTATTTCCCCATGTTACAGTATGCATTGCCTTCTTCACTCTTCCATGATGCAATTCCATAGAGCCTTTCCAGGGAGTGCAACACTTCACAGGCACACCCATGTGGGAAAGTTTGGATGCATTTTAGAAATGGTTTACAAATGCAAATGGAAGAAAATATTTTAGTAAGGGGCATGTGTGAGGCAGAGATGTTGAATTTGGTTGAGGAAAAAATATGTGAATAACAGTGGAGAAAAAATGTTTTAACAGTGCAGAAAAATTTAGGTTTTTGTAGACACATACCTCTGATATAAAGAATTTCAGGTTCAGATGATGCTCTTAAGTCTGTTATGGTGGCATAAGGCCAGTACAAGGCTCCAATACTATGGGCTCTTATTCATTGTTATGGTTGTCTTCTGTAATTAGGGCTATGAGTGGGTGTGTGCAAATGGCACATTAACAGGCAGCATGTATATTATTGAGTTAATAGGATTGAGCATGTTTACATCAACAGTTAGCTTTACACAAGGG